AGTCCAACACCCCGCCTCACTGAACTGTGACACCACTTGCCTCTGTTTAAAAATCACCTCTAGGGAAGGACTTCACACCAGCACGAAAAGGGTATGATTTCTAAAATCATTTTTCTGATCATCTAACTACTGATGACACCAAACGGAAGGAAGCAGCGTGCCTTCTGGCCCACGGTCGCGGGCTTGTGTAACTTCGCACCAAACTTGAGTGATAATGACCGAGGCGCTTTCCAGCGTAATGTGGTTGAGGCTGGACAGTCATCCGGCCTCTGATAATCTTCACAATTCCCTGGCAGGGCGCGACACCTCCCCCCCCACTCACTTCCCCTTTCAGTTGAGGTACTTGCTTCTGGTGAGTCCTCTCACCCTCCGCATCTCTGGCCTGTACCCCAGTTCTGTATGAATATATAAAATCTTAAAAAAAAAAAAAAGTTAATGAGTTAACAAGGCTCAGAATCACTTGCAGGTTTATTAGAATAGCTTTTGAGACCCTGCCCTGAGCATCTTAGTTGAATCTGAGATGGGAACTGAGAAGCTGTTAGCAGTTTCCAGGTGATACTGATCCTGCTGGTCCAGGACCACACTTTGAGATCCACTGGACCAGCTGATGGGTAAGGAACCATCAGGCAATGCAGCAGCAAAGTTGAAAGCACTCTGATGGTGAAGGAGGAGGGGAGACAGAGGACCTGGACAGGAGGGGGTCAGGGGTCGGGGGCCAAAAGGCAGCTCAGCCTCAAAGAAAACAGACTTGCTCACATGACCCGCCAACACACAAGAGTCTTGGGTGGCCCACATTCTCATGGGCATCTTGTCCTTCCTTTCCTGTGTGTTTTCTGCCCACTGCCTCCCGGGAGGAAACACCTGCTGAACGCCCCCAGGCAGCCACAGTAAGGGCGAGGGTTGCTCCTCCTGGGGAGGCATCCACGCAGCTGATCAGGCTGCCAAGGGGCCGCCAGGACTCGGCACCCTCTCTCCGGGGTCCCTGACATTTCTGAGAATTTGCATGGGGCTCAGAGGCATCATCTCTCTCTCTCTCTCTCTCTCTCTCTCTCTCTCTCTCTCTCTCTCTCTCGATCCTAATAGAATAAATTCAAAGGAAAGCACACTCTGATCTTGCAGCCACTCCTTCCTGACACAAACAACAAGGAACTAATTAGCTGGCTTGCTGAGGAGGCAGGCAGAAGGGGCTCTTCACAGACCACAGGCTGGGGAGCCCCCTCAAGGAGACTCTGGGCTCGCCCTTTGGCCATCATGTCCCTAGGGGAAACTGACTGCCCACGTCTGCCCGGCATTGCCACGTCACCACTGGGCGATTAGTTCTGTTAGTGGGTAGCCCTTGGTACATCTGAAAGCACGCTGACACTCCACTTTCACTGGACACAGAAAGAATCCTATGAACTAGGCAGAATAGGAGCGATGCAAACACATGGTAGTTAAGACAACATGGAAAGACCCCTGCCTTTCGAAGCCTTGGTTTCGTCATCTGTGGAATGAACGCGATGGACAAGATGACTGTGACCTCACACATAAGGAAAAAGCTACATAAAGCCTAGGCCCGAGGTCATGCAATTTAGTGGGGTGAATAGTGGCATGAGGCCAGTGCCCCCCACCACCCCATAAGGGGAGGGGGCCATCAAACACCAGTGGCACCCGCTCCATCTCCCTGGTGCTGCTGGCCTGTTGTCATCCTCCAAAAGACCTCACAAAGACCCAGGTCACGAGGGCTTGTGAATTAGGGGATTCGTGCCCAGAATGCTCCTTGATGTGACTTGAAGCTGCTCATTAGCAAAGAGAAGGCCAGGTCCTTTGGGACCCCCTTCAGCAGACAAACACGATGGGCAGCTGCTATGCCAGGTCCTGAAGCAGATGAGGGGAGGTGGAAATGAAGGACACTGGTCTCAGTGAGACTGAGATCATCTGTAGCATATAGCTGGATGGGGGTTGGGCAGGTGTTGTCCACTAGGTGTTGCATCTTGGGAGAGCTCACAGAGCCTGCTCCTGGCACTAGACAGGACAGCCTGGAGAAAGGAGTGCCTTTTCTGTAACTGCACATAGGTGCTAGCTAAGGCTCAGTTGAGCACGATCTTTTTCAAGGTAGTGCAGGATCCCCAGATTTTAGAAGGGGTCAGGTTTAGAGCAGTTTGCATATAGACACCTCTCTCCAAACACACTGTGGAGAGCAAATGCACACATCTGACCCCAATCAATCTGCTGGCAGGAGCAATGACGTGCTCTCTGTCTCAGAGTCAATCCTTCTAATGGAATCGATGAGGAAGCTGGCTCCTGTCTGTAATGTGCTGGTAAATGGTTTGCTCCCACCTGTTCCAGAAAATCACATAGTCAACAGAGGGCCACGGCCAGACTCCCTGGGGGAAGCAAGATGAACACAAGAAGCAAGGAGAGCACGGAAGATGCAGAGTAGGGAATGGCCATGCTAGAAGGCAGAGGGTGTGGGGTGGGTAGAAAATCTCCAAGGGGACTCAGGGAGAGGCAAGGTCAATTCCAACTGGACCTCCAAAAACCTTCATGAAGGATGGAAAGATAACCCATCAAGGTGGGAGGAGACCCGGTTCTAGTCCCTTCTGCCACAGTCGGCCAAGTACACTTGAGAAAACCATGTCTCTCCCTCTAAGAATGGGTGAGCTGCCCTTAGCACTCCAAGCATTATGTGGATTAAATGAGAACTGATTTCAGCACACGTCGGGTAAATAAAAGCACCAAATTAAAGTTTCTCGTCATCAGCTGGAGAGGAGTGGGGAGGAAGCTAAAAGCAGAAAGTATATGAAGGAGGAAAACGGGGTGGGGGCGGTGGTGCCTGCCAAACCCAGGGCTGATACGGACACCTATGGGCCTCATAACTGGCTCCCAAGATTTTGTAAACTCCCACAGGTAATTTTATAGAAGCGAGCCCAAGAACACTAAGTCAGAACATGTAGTTTCTTCTACATTAGGAAAATAAAGTTCCTACTAGAGAAGTGACCTCCTGCCCTGAGTAACAGGGAACCAGTCACTGTGGCTGGACGGTGTACCCGGTTGTCCTGCCCAGCTCCTGTGCTGGGCACGTGCTGGCAATAAGGATCCTTATGCCTTCAAGGCCATCTTATTCATACCTGCAGAAGGGCAGGTATTCTCAGCCCTGTCCAAGATGGGGAGGCTGTGGGGGCAGTGACTGTCTGTGTCCCAAGCCAGCACCGCAGAAGGGACCTCTGCCTCTCCCTGTGGTGTTCCTTCCTCACACCATACCACTGAGAATTATTACTACAGCCAACAAATCCCCTTCCCAATTAGGAGGCCGAAGGATGGTGCTCTGAGCACTTTCCTTAGGTTTCATGGTAGCCGACTCTCATGGAGGGAGCAACTAGCCCCCCAACCTGTGCCAGTTATTCCAATTTAGAAAGTGATTCTGTGCATCCTAGACATAGGCGTGTCCTGAAATCTCTGCTTGTTGTTTAACCAAAAAAGAAGTAATCTGGAGTCATTATTTGGAGTTATGGCTCCTTACTGAAAAAAAAAAAAGAAAAGAAGATAGAAATAGCAGAGGGCATCAGGAAGACAGGAGGGCGTTGCTAGTGCTGTTTTATAACCTCAGACATTCCTACATTAACAGAGTTGGCACTGAGTTTTGACAGATGACCTGGCCGCAGGAAGGAGGGGCAGAGTTGTTAAGCTCATGGTTAATGTCACCTAAGGGCTAGAGTCAGTTGGGCTGATTTGGGGTCTGAAATCTGGGCAGGACGTCAAGTTCTCACTGGTGAGGGTGGTACAGGGAGTCCCACCCTCCTCCCCTAGATGTCTTCTCACTGCAGCTATCTGACAGGTCAGTGCCTGTCTGTGACTCTTCAGCCTACCAGAATGGAAGGGAACATAGAGAAATGAGGCCTCAGAGAGAAAGCTGAAGCATGTTCAAGGTCAGAAGTTGGCTCCCCTTTATGACCCACAAGGCCCTCAGCAGACAAACTAACATTTGATGGTTCAATCCTTCCTAGGGATGCTGTCATTCTAACAAAAAAACACGTAGTTCAGAGTTTTGGTAGGAATCTAGAAATGCCATCTATCACAAACTCTGTTGGAGCTCAGAGGCTCCCCTAAAGTGGCAGAAATTGGGAAGGGGAGAGAATTTCGAGGACTCCTAGCTCCAGACAGGATTAGTGGATTAGGCAGGAAGAGGTCTGAGCCTTGAGAATGAGCGTCATTGTCCCCACCAATGTGGCCAGATCAGCTCTGCTCTCTGCAGCTGGGGGAAGCACTGGGCCACTCTGCAGCCCCCCATGGAGATTCAACACTACCATCTGACACCCATATATTTAATATATATATATTTTTTTTAATAAACATAATAGTTTATTTTTACATCATTTTGTACATTTTTGTTTTTTCATCTCAATTGTAATCCCTGTGGGTTTCCCATCTCCGAGTCACCCATGTGCCATCACTATAGTCCTGTGACACCCATATATTTAATATTACAGAGGGCCAAGGCATCGGGGGACCTGGGAGAGTTGAGCCACTAGTGGGATAAGGTGCACTGAGAATTCACGGGTCAGATCCGTCTTTCACGTCCCCTGGGACACAGACTGGGTAAGCTTCGGTGGGAGAAGTAAGACAACTCTGGGGGCATGGGTGCGGAGCGGAAGCCTCACGGGGACTCCTGAACGACAGGAAGGAGAGGAAGTGGTTAGGGACAAAAGTATGCCAGAGGCAAACTCACCAGCTGCACAATTATACAAGAGCTGGAGGAAATCTTAGGGGTCATCTTATCCAAGCCCCACTGGTACGGCCCAGAATTACTGATTGTGGTCATTCAGCAGAATCAAGACTAAAAACCAGAACTTCCCCCTCCAAGCTCCCACCAACACCAACTAGTTGGGCCAGCGACCTCTTGGATGTTCCATCCTCCCCTGATACCGGCCCGGGGCCCTGATTCCATGGTGCTAGGAATACCCTCTGCCACATTCAGTGCTCTTGAGGATGCCACGCGCCACGCACTACACCAGGCCTACCTTGTGCGAATAATGCTGATCGACGATCCTCGCCAGCCCAAAGTCCCCAATCTTGAGCACAAGGTCCTCTGTGCTGATGAAGATGTTGGCAGGCTTCAGGTCCCTGTGCAGCACGTTGGCCGAGTGGATGTACTTGAGCCCGCGGAGCAGCTGGTACATGAACAGCTTGGCGTGCTCCTCCGTGAGTGTGCCCTGCTCCAGCAGGCGGGCCAGGTCAGTCTCCATGTGTTCCTGGACAATGTAGGCCACGCTAAACTTGAACAGCTCGCCCTGCAGGTCGGTGCCCTTGGGTCCCAGCACCTCGTACACCTTCACGATGTTGTCATGGTCCAGGCGCCGGATGATCTTGATCTCCCGGAGCGCGTGCTTCATGCTGCGGGCATCGCTCAGGGTGATCTTTTTCACGGCCACCTTCCGGCAGGCCCTGCTGTCCACAGCTGACAGCACTAGCCCGTTGACACCGAAGCCCAGGGGTTGGAAGTCAATGAAGCGTCCTCCGAGGTCATACCCGTAGACACTGGCGATGCAGTCGCCCTTCTCGGCCATTGTTGGCTCAGTGGTCAGGGGCTGCCCGTGCGACAAAGGGGCAGACAGGAAAGGCCACGTCCCAGGTAGTGGCTGCCCCAGCACACTTCATTCTGTCAAGTCCCAAAGCAGAGGGCTGATGCTTCTGGTCCTGGTGATTGTGCAGCCACCAGCTTGCTGGAGACGGCAGTGCCTATGTTCATAGCCGCGAGCTGCAGAAGTTGGAGGCTCAGACTGTTTTCTGAACCTGCATGGGGAGAGCTGTCCACCACCTCCTACACAGCCCGAGCCCACCTCGAAACTTAGGAAGGCTCATGCTTCTTGCAAATACAGCTCTTGGAAAGAAAAAAACAGGGCCGTTCTCTAAGAGAACGTAATGTTTTCTGTCACAGTAAAGCAGAAAAAACCCTCCCCTTTAAATCCTTCATTCAAAGACGTTCCTTTGGGTGAAATATGGAGCCATTGCTGAACTGGGTTCCTTACGATAGTCCAAAGCTCGGCTGAATCACAGCCTCCAGCAGCTTGCTACCTGCTCTCTGTTGCCCAAGCAGTTGGAAGGGGCCCAGAGAATTGATTCTGGAGGTTTCTAGAGGCTTTTTTCTTCCTCTGTCAGCTCCATTCAGATTCTGATATCCAGACCAGTCCGGTGAACATTGGTGAAGGGGGCTGGAGAAACCCAAGCACTTTTCATGAGCTCTACTCCGGGTTATACCTGAAGTCCCACATCTGAGGGGGGCTCAGCGGCCAGGCCAGGATACTCTGCAGGCTTCAGATGTGGGTGGCATCCTCTACCACCCCCTCACCCATGCCTCCTCCAATGAGACTGTGTTCTGCCGGACTTCAGAGAGACTGCAGGAACTTGGCATCTCTCGGACTGAGTCTCCTTCCCTGTCAAAGAAATAGAACGTTGGGTAAATTTCCACACTCAGCTTGCAACACCTTCCCACTTGCGTGTCTTTTGTTAACCAGCCCGAGTGTTATTTGATCTGTCCAGCCAAGTGAAACACTGCTTGCTCAGGGGATTCCAGGCTTTGCCCTGCCTGGCCACCCCTCCTGCTGTGTGCAACCTCCCCTGAAAGGGACAGAAGATGGATCGGCTTGATAAGACCATCAAATTGTGTGCCTTTTATGTAAATACCTGCTCCCCGAAGGTTAACGCGTACAAATGTGGATGGGAATGATCAGCTCTGACCTTTGCAAAATTCATTTGTTATGTTCTCCAAACACACACATCAGCCCTAGCTGGGAAAAGTGAGAGTAATAAGTAACTATTTACAGACAGAAAATAAATGATCAATAATCTTGCTTTTCTACTTGGACCTCTTTCTTCTTTTGCAAATGTCTTTGAATATTTTAAGAGACAATTTGCGTGCACTGAGATTTAATTACATTGTATCTCTTGCTTCCCACCCATAAGCCCTTACCAAACTACAAGGAAATTTTACTATCACCCTAAAGAAGAGACTCTGCCCAGCAAGCCAGCACCAAGTCTGGCAAGGTAAACTGTATTCTCTTGGAAGATGGGAAGCAAGTTCTTCAAAACTATGGGTCAAATCCTAGCCTGAAGGCTCCCTGTTGACTGCTGGCTCAAATTATAGGCACGGGGCCTAAGTGAAGAGGAAGACCTGCAAAACTAGCAATAGAATTCAGAGCTCTCGCATAAAAGCAGTATTGTACTTTCTAAGGGGGTGTCATGTTTTATAAGTTTATTAAGTCCACAACTGTAAAGAACAAACACTACCGAGCACAAAGAGGTCAACCTAGCCAAGGCTGCTTCTTCAATCTCATCCCTGTGGGGATACTTTCATATCCAAACAGTGCTCAGTAAATGATAAGTGAAGCCAGAACAGCAGTTCGCTCAACGTGCTGAAATGAAGGGGTGAAGTTAGAGGACACAGATGATCTGGAGTAGTAAGTAATGAGATGCCCCCTAAAGACTTCTAGTGAAAGAATTTTTCCAAGGGCCCGACATATAATAATTTCTCAACAGATGTCACCTTTTGCTGTCATTGTTAAAAACTCCCTCATACTTGCATGAGATAAACCTACTATACTGATGTTTCATCTCGAACAATTCTCCTCTGCAAATTTCTTAGTGGGCTCAACAACAAAATAATCACAGACGTACAGAATTACAGACTGTGAAGCCATTGTAGCATGCGAGTCCAATGTTCCTTAACTGGGAGGGACCCTGCCCTCCTTTGCTCTTTTGATGAGGCGCCACCACTGGCCTCTGAAGAGCAGGGTCAGGTGTGGAGCCATCCCTGCAAGCATCCCCAGCAGTGAGTAGCTGTCACCCACCCCAAGTGCCAACAGCATGAGAGGCGACATTGTAGTACAAGGTCTCAGCTTGCAGATGAGGCACCAACGCTCAGAGCGCCAGCTCGGTGCTTCCAGCACAGGCCAGTAAGCATTTGATGAACAGATAAATGAGCACCTTTTCCTCCGTGTGAGGATCCCGGCCAGTTGGAGGACAGTGCTGAGCACACTCTGGAGCCACAGTCTATGGGCTGTGCTAGTGAAGTCCCCTGGATTCCTAACTCAGGGGAACAGAGTCACCCCAGCGCCCCCTTCCATACCTGCTCTGACTCCTGCTGCCCAAGTCAGGTGACAGACTAAACTGGAGCGTCTTTCACTCTCTATCCATATGTCAAGTCTGGTCCCAAAGGCACGGCAAACAGGCAATTATATATTTTGCTTTATGAGAAGAGACACTTAAGCCTTCTTCCCTTTTGGTTCCCAGTGGGTTGTAAACAGAGACAGGAGTGAGCACCTGAGCAGGGAAGAGATGACATCACCAGCAAGCTGAAAGCAGGATTTGTTCAAGATCAGCTGCAATGCAGATAGTCTGTGAACGATTAAGAGGTGCTTTATTTATCTTTAAAACTCCTTTTCCTCTCACATGGGAAAGGGACTATTTCCTGTGTGTGCACACACGTGTGTCTGTCTGTGTGACCTTCCCCGCTTCCCTGGGTAGGGTAGGCTCCATGTGCCCTTTAGAAGGCTCGATTCCAGCCCCTCCACCTTCCTCACACGCTCCTGATTGTGTCCCAAGTCCTGGAATTCCTATTTGCTTATTTGTGCCCCACCAGTTCCAGAAATGTTCTCTGTCTCCTCCCCACTTTTTGAAATTCCCATCGTTAAACATGCACACAAAGACTTGCTTCCTCTCTGAAGTGGCCTCAGCAACACTCCTCCATTTCCTAGACTGCTAAGGCACCGTGCATCTGTATTTGGCATTCACCACACACTAACCTGGGCTGCTGCTGACCCTTCTAGACAGGCCCCCTCCCAACTAGCCTATAAGCGTCTCAAGTCCGGGGCACAAAGCTGCCTTAGAAAATAACAGTTGGCAGTACCAGAGGAATGTTAGCTATGGATACACAATTGGGGGGGAGGGTGCACATTTGTTAGAGGGGGGGAGGGTTATTCTTCCCTCCTTAGAACTGCTGTTCTGATGCAACCTATCCCCAGCCAGCCAGCTACTCAGGTGAGCCAGCACCTAGGAACGTCAGTCCTGTTCCTCTCATCCGAGGTGATGCCTCTCTTGGCGTCTCCATGCTAACCAGGCAGGCCCCTTCTATCTGTTGGTGCCCACTGAGTCGATTATTCGTCTCATCTCAAACCTCTTCATTGCCTATGTTTCCTTTTCAATCCCTGTGTCCTTTCTATTGTAAACTCTGCTTTTCTCCACAGGTGAACTGGTTATGAAACACCTATTACCTAAGAAGTCTCAGATTAGTGGTTCAGTTCTTGCATGATATATACCAAGAGGTGTGGGTCCACTGATACCCACACCGGGGAGAGGCAGACCTGGCGTCTGAATGTGCCCACCTGGGCAGAGGAGTGGGTACGGCTGCCCTTGGCAGGATGCAGCCTCTCTGGGCAAAACAGTCACTCTTCCTTTGGAAGGGTTGGCTCAGAGCTGTACTGAATCAGGTGTCATTTCCAGCCAGAGAGCTGGCATTCCTCTTGCAAGAAGGAAAGGTCATCGGTTCAGCTGTGCTCGAATGACACCCAGCAAGAAAAATGCTCGTATCTCTTTGCAAGGGCAGCCAGGTGCCCACATGTCCAGGGTGAATGCCACGTTAAGAAACACAAGAATTGATAAATCTACCCTCCTAACAATGGGTTTCATTTTCCCATTGGTTTTTCACTGTTTCTCCCGGAATATTTTATTTGAGGCCAATTGATTATTCTCTCAAGCACCCACCTTTTAACATGTGGAGGCAAACCAGAGAAGAGTCGGTGTGTGCTGACGTCCTTTTCTGGGATTCCCGGGGCTCTGGTTTATAAAGCAGCTTTGCAAAATTTAAATTTAGACTCACCTCCTCTCCCTGCTGAGATCCTCCCAAACCCCACGCTGTCTACTTTCAGCAGAAATTATGACCCCTAGGGAGGTGCTGACATTTCCTAGACACTGCTTTTTCCCCTCTCCTGAGCATCCAAAAATTTGCAGAAAATCCTTCTTGGGGAGATGGGATGAGGGGAGGGTGTTACAGTTCACCAGGTTTTACACTGTGCAATTTGAGGTAGCACCATTTAGATCTAGCTCACTCGAAGCCTCAAGTTCTCTAGATCAGAGAAAGGCAATGTTATTCTATCGAGAGAATAAATAACTTGGATTGTTCAGGACATACAGTCTCTGATCAGCAATGACTCAACCTCGTCTTTGTAACATGCCTGACATCCTCCTGGGGGTACAATCCCAGACTGGCTCTCCCTGGAAGGTCCCCTGGGGTTGGGACCCCATCCCAGGCTTAGGTGGGTTCACTGTAGGTTTCATGCCCTCTGGGCTCAACTCTGTTTACCACAAGCTACCTTTTAGTTCTGTGATTCCATGGTTCTGTTGATATACCTCACCCCTAAACCCCACTTGATCTAAACTGAAGCTTTCTGGAGAGGTGGCAAAGATGACATAAAGGTGGTGTAACCATGCTATTGAGGGTTCACCACGTCCCAAAGTTTGGTCCATTAATTCATTTGTATCAAAAAAAAAAAAAAAAACAACCTTATGAGGTTGGTGTTATTCTCCCATGCACGCCCAGAGGGGAAGTGGCTTTCCCCAAGTCACACCATTAGCCGAAAATGAACCTGGGACATAAATTCAGGAGGGTCTGATGCCAAAGCCCACTCTCACCACAGGAATACATCATCTGAGCTCAGATGAGTGATTCCCACCATGAACTATCAAGACCCAGTGTGATTTCACAGGTCCAGTGAAGGGCAAATTTAGGGTAAGCACAGCCTGTGGTGGTTCTCAAATGACAGCATAAGGAAGTCACCTTTTTTCCCTGTGCTCAGCCCCAATGTGGTGGCCGCAGTTAAGAAGCCCAATTTATGGAAAGAGAAACTGGAATAGAATGTTGAAATGGGATTAAGGGTTGAGAAAACAAACAAATCCAAGTTCTAACAACCCAGCCTCCCAACCAGCTCTTGACCCCCACCCTAACTGTAAACCTGGGCCAAGCTGAGGTTGCGGGGCCTGGACAACTTAGACATGAGCTCTCTGACCTCTTGCCAGTGGGCTGATACACAGATCCTACAGCTGACACTGGTCACCCACCCAGGAACAATTCCCAACTCCTCCACATGAGCAGAAACCAGGTCTGGGTCAGCCCTTGAGCAGCTAACCCAAGGGTGACGTGGCTAGAACAAAGCAGGCTTCTCAGCCTCTGTAAGATCCGACAGCTCGGATCATTCTTAGCTGTGGGATCATCCTATGCACTGTAGGATATTTAACAGAGGCCCCGTTAGGGGGAAAGGATGTCCTGAAGAAACTTTGCAGAGTTCTGTGGACTCCACTCCTTACTTCAGTTTTCCGAACTCCACCCCCTAATCCAGTTATTGAAACTACAACTCCCAGCAAATACCACGGAGAGAACTGC